GCTAAATGGTAAATATTTTATTTTAAAAATTTATCGGTTTAGGATTACAATCGAGATCATATTCCTACGGCATGGTTCCACGGCAAAAAACGGATAAAAAACATGGAAACATAAGCATATAAAGTTTTCAATCCGTAGCTCGACCTAAAACACTTAAGGGAGCAATACGAAGTGATGACGATGTTGTTGTTCTTCCCAAATCAAATGCTCGAGAAGAAAGTCTCAAAGCAAAACACACAAGCCAAACTTACCAAGATCCATAGCAATAGAAGCCTTTCAAGAGAGACCCGCAAATGAGTCGTCCACGGAGACTACAACACAACCCTCGATCACCAAATCCTCTTGCGTCTAGTGAGAGTGGCTCGTTGCACAATCCATGAGCTAAGACAAGTGCGAAACCTCAGAACCAATATCAGAAATCAGCGCGAGCTCCCCTTACCAATCTCCTCCCGAGGTTAGCTAGTCCAGAGCCAAATTTAACAAATAGAAACTACGCCACAAACCATTAGCCATACTAACTCCTCTATTGCACAAACCAAAGCAACCAACCCATACACTCAGCCAAGAAGATGACCTCTACAAAGCAACCTCAATAACAAGACACAAGCAACAACTGGTCACGAAACCAACTATCAGAAAGCAGAACAAGGAGACAATAAAAAGCCACCACCGGCAGCATTACCAACTTCTTGACTACCAATCCGCACGAACCGGCATATACAAAAAGGATTTCCCACACACTACACCACGCCCAAGACGCCACACGAGCCAGTTACCTGGAGATTATGTTGTTGTCCATAGCCAAGACCATCTTATAACTAATCCTTTCATCAGGCCTTATCATCTAAGCAAAACCTCTAAGTAACATCCGAGAAACATTGCCCTGAAACAAGTCGACATGGGAAGACTGGGGGACCGAGGCTCCAGCAACGAAGAAGAAGAGCAAAGCCAAACCAGGAAGACAACAAATCGCTCTTCCAAGCCAGGACAGAACGACACTCCTCAATCAATTCCCTCTGACCCCTAGCAGAAGAAACCGACATAGAGAAAGGCCGAATACCAGAAGAAGCGATGCGCGGTAGAAGATCCAAATCTGAGCTTGGAAACAGGAGATAGACAAAGATGATGGAGAGGCAAAAACGACAACCACAGACGCCGCTCTGATGTCGCGTAAAGACATCTCCTTCACCTGAAAACGCCAGGGGGGAGAGGATCTGAAGTAGATCCACACCGATCGAGCTGCATGAGGCGAGAGAAGGGAAATAGCTGGAATCCGACTGTAACACCCCCGATCATGCAGTGAAATCTCACCGCAAAGAATTGCTACCGCAACACTCAAGAACAGACGGACCAAGTTACAAAATATCATTAAGTGCTCCGGTCCCATCCATTCAAGAGCGCCCTTTCCATCTGGGCTGACCTAAGGCTTGCCAACCCGTGTCAGGCCAGACGGTTAGTTCGGTCCGGACAGGACCTAGCATCATTATCACTTGATAATTTTCATAAACACTTGTTTTATACTTAGTATAGTTTTATTAGAAAACCGTTGTAAAAATCTTATAGTGTTTTCGGATACGAGGTTCAAAATTTGTATAGTAAAAATTATCATTTTGCAAGACACCCATAACCGCCTAAGTCTGATGAC